TTGATTTCAACAGAAAAACCGACAGAGCCTAAACGACTCTGCTATCTATAAAGATCCAGAATATCGATAGGAAAAGTATAACACACCGCTATATACAGATCTAATTGGTGTTTTGCTCATATCTTTATTTATGGACCAATTTTGAGGTTTTTTTAATAGAAAACTTCACGAGATCATGTCTAAGAGTATTATTTAAGATTTAGATCCCAAAGATAACTGTGGTTTTTAGAAAATTGATTTCAACAGAAAGAACGACAGAGCCTAAACGACTCTGCTATCTATAAAGATCCAGAATATCGATAGGAAAAGTATGACACACCGCCATATACAAATCTAATTGGTGTTTTGCTCATATCTTTATTTATGGACCAATTTTGAGGTTTTTTTTAGTAGAAAACTTAACGAGATCATGTCTAAGAGTATTATTTAAGATTTCGATCCCAAAAATAACTGTGGTTTTTAGAAAATTGAAAATTTAGAAAATTTCAACAGAAAGACCGACAGAGCCTAAACGACTCTGCTATATATAAAGATCCAGAATATCGATAGGAAAAGTATAACACACCGCTTTCACGAAGGTAAAGGGTATACAAACCGTTCGGATCAGGCTATATTAGTTACATATATCTCTACTAAGTACGAAGTTGTCATATCACAATTCATTACTTTCATACCAAAAATTTACAAGCTTAATAATTGTTTTCAGAAAAATATTAAAAAACTTTTTCCCTAATCCACAGTGTATGTTTATTTAAATTTCTTTTCGCCATGATGTTCTCATATTGTCATAACAAATAAACGAAGCCACACACTAAAAACTTCGAAAACTGCACTCAACTAAACAAATATTTGGGATGTCATCTTCTTATGCTAAATGCATTTGTAAAACGCACACTCAAATAGAAATCAGCTGCAACAAGTTTTTAAAAAAGTTAAAATGATGCACACACAAACACACCCACAAATGTTAGCTAAAATCCTCTAAGAAGAAAAAAAAACAACAATAAACAAAAAGAAAAAACAATTAAACTTAGTTTAAGTGTGGTCTCTACTCATCTCTTATAATACTTAAAAAGCAAAAGAATAAATAGAAAAAAAGTGGAATAGGCAACAGTTGCTGTAGTGGTGGCAGGCAGCAGTTAAAGCATGTAGTTGTTAAAAACTTTTGACTTAAGCTAGCTCAAAAGTTAAGAAAAAAAAAGATCTAAACAGTTTTAGCAGCAACTACTGCAACGCCACAAAAAGTAAATTTAACACAACAACAAATATAATAACGTCAGTATCGTACGAAATTGACACATTTGTCAGTCAAAATTTAAAAACAAACACACTAATACCCGCTAACAAACAATTTCAATGGGACTCGTGGAAGTAGTAGTAAGAAAAGATTTAAAAGAGTCTACACAAAAACCACTTGGTAAAAAGGATTTACTTTTTCAATTTTTTTTTTTTTTGTTTTTTAGCATTTGAATTTAAGACATGTAAATGACTGAAAACAATTGTCACTTGTTGGTAAAGAAAACGACGACAACAACGACAACATCTATAATAAAACATTAAGGAAAATTGCAATTTTAGTAGACAAGACAAAAATAGTTTTTGAAAACTGTCTAGCAAATGGTAAAAAAGTAAGATCTACCGACAGACAACCATCTAAAGACAAGAACAACAACATACAAAAACATAACTTTTTGAAGTGAACTTTAGAAAGAAAATTAAAATTAAAAAACAAAAACATTCGTAATTATAAGATAAAATAAGTCTGCAGAAGTTTTGTTACCAAAAAAAAAAAAAAAATAAAAAAATGAAATGTTAACAATAAAATTATACTTAAAAGAAAAATTATTAAAGAAAACGACAATTAGGAAATGAAATTGAATTAAAGTATATTTTGGGAAATAGGGAGAAAAAAATATAAAGTTCGAAAAGTTCTAAAATAGACATTTCTGTCTAGAATAGTCTATAGACTAGACAAGACAAGGGTCCAGAAACTATTCAATACGTCAATACTAGTATATTACTCTAGACAAAGGACTCGGCTAAAGAGTAGATAATGGACTAGACTATAAACTAGGCAATGGACTAGTCTATAGACTAGATCATGGATAAGTCCATAGACTAGATAATAAACTAGTGTACTAGGAGTAGTCTAGAGACTAGATAATAGGCTAGTCTATATACTAAACATTGGCCTGGTCTACAGACTAGACAGTGGACTAGTATATAGACTAGAGAGTGGACTAGTCTATAAACTATAAGCTAGACAATGGACTAGACTATACTGGATAATGGACTATTCTATTTACTAGACAATGGGCTAGTCTATGGACTAGTTTATAGACTAGCGAATGGACTGGTCTATAGACTAGACAATGGACTAATCTATGGACTACACAATGGACAAATATATAGACTAGACAATGGACTAGTCTATAGCCCAGACAATGGTCAAATACATAGACTAGACAATGTAGTGGCCTATAGACTACACAATGCACTATTCTATAACATAGAAAATGGACTAGTCAATAGCCTAGAGAATGGACTAGACAAAGGACTAGTCTATAGACTAGTCAATGGAGTAGTTTATAGACTAGACAATGGACCAGTCTATAGACTAGTCAATAGAATAGTCTATATATTAGACAATGGTCTAGATAATGGACTAGTCTATAAACTAGACAATAGACTAGTCTATATGCTAGATAATGGACTTGTCGATAGACTAGACCAACGGTTCCCAAATGGGGGTCCGCGGACCCCTAGTGGTCCGTAGTAAAATCCTAGGGGGTCCGCGAAGACGAACGAAAAAAACCATGAATAAACAATATTCTGCTTTTATATGTATGTACAAATAGCTCTAATTTTTGTGCAATAATCCCAAATTTTTTGGTGACTTTTTGAATTTTATTTTTCGGTTGTTTATCAGGAAGAAGCTAGGCCCTACAAATTTATTGTATAACTTTTATAAAGTAAAGTATTGCGTGATTTGTAATTTTTATTTCCTGTATATGTACTGAAATAAAGGTTTTTATTTCAGACAAATAATACTCTACCTTACAATTAAATTAGGGATACTGGTATTCCGGAGTATGAAGTTCAATTCAAAGACAAGCTTATTACAGATTTAAGTTTATCAAATTGTAAGCAAAAGTGTTCTTGTTTGAAAGGACTAAAATTATATATTTCCAAAACAGAGGTGACACTTTATGCACCTCTTTATAAAAATTCCAATCCGACGTGATACACAGATTTTAAATTGATTTTGTCGACCAATACATATTATTAAATTAACATCAGAAAATCCATAGCGTTTCGCGTAAATATGTAGCCAAAAACAACCATGAAGTAAAATAATTCGTTGGTATTTTAAAATTCAAATTTAAGTTCCAAATTCACAGTACTTTAACAAAGAATTCAAATCATATATTATGCGGATAACGCATTCCGCAACAACAAAAAAGAAGTCAAACTTTCTTATATTATTTTCCCGAAAACTTAGATCACTTACTCACCCTTTGCAATCGCAACAAATTTTTGAAACGTGACTCATTAAGCACATGTGACAATATTTGATAAAGAAACCTTTTCGCTACCTTGAAGAAAAATGAACATGAAAGATCTCACGATCATAAAATTAAACATCATGTTAACATATCAACAAAGAAGTCATTCTATCTTCAAAACATGCAATTGAAAACCTATCTGAAATATTATATATTCTCAATGTACGGGAATATTTTATAGATATGACATCTCTACATTTATTAGACCTAGGAATTAATGAACTAGGTCAATTTTCGCATGGACAATTATTTAGAACAATAAGATATCAAAATATGTATGGGGGTCCGAAGTTCTTCAAGGGGTTCGCGAAGTAAAAATCGGTGGGAACCGCTGCTCTAGACAAAGGACTAGGCTAAAGAGTAGATAATGGATAATACTATAAACTAGGCAATGGACTAGTCTATAGACTAGATCATGGATAAGTCCATAGACTAGATAATAAACTAGTGTACAGACTATACAATGGACTAGTCTAGAGACTAGTTAATGGGCTAGTCTAGAGACTAGTTAATGGGCTAGTCTATATACTAGGCAATGGACTAGTCTATATACTAAACAATGGCCTGGTCTACAGACTAGACAATGGACTAGTATATAGACTAGAGAGTGGACTAGTCTATAAGCTATAGGCTAGACAATGGACTAGACTAGACTGGCTAGGCAATGGGCTAGTCTATGGACTAGTTTATAGGTTAGCGAATGGACTGGTTTGTAGACTAGACAATGGACTAATCTATAGACTAGGCAATGGACAAATATATAGACTAGACAATGGACTAGTCTATAGCCCAGACAATGGACAAATACATAGACTAGACAATGCACTATTCTATAGCATAGACAATGTACCAGTCTATAGACTAGTCAATGGAATAGTCTATAGACTAGACAATGGTCTAGATAATGGACTAGTCTATAAACTAGACAATAGACTAGTCTATATGCTAGATAATGGACTTGTCTATAGGCTAGATAATGGTCTTGTCTATAGACTAGACAATGGACTTGTATATGTATAAGGGAAGCCTAGCAGCTCCTTATTCAGTAGTTAGTTTTTTATTAAAGAAAATACCCTAGTTACTATATGACTTAGTACATGGGTTATTCTATAGACAAAACCAATAACTACATCATTGATTATTTATGTACAATTACGCATATGTATGTAGAAACAGTTGTTTAATATATATAGGAATCAATCCGTTATCTAAATACTTATTTAAATAGAAATTTAAAAAAAAAATAATTTCAAATTAATCATTAAATTTAAAAGAAATTTAACCAACACTCTAATAACTAATAAATTTCCCCTACTTATTTCATAGACATGTGAATACAATTTAGCAAAATATTTTTATATACATAGTATGTATGTAAAAATGTATTACATACAACCCATTTCATATAGAAGTAAAATAAATTCTTATACTTACGATTTCTAATGATTTCTTTAATTTGCCAAACAGTGCCGACCATATCTTATCACGTGTAAAGGCATTCTTATAGCCCTGCAGAATATCAATGAGCTCAAGAAAAACCTTGCGACCATGATTATCCTTGGGTGGCCCATCACGATACAACAACAATGTGGGATTTGTTAATATGACCAAAAGACGTATGAGTACATCGGCATATTCATCATCGTCAACATAGTCAGGCAGCATATAAACTAAATCTGTTTGCAAGACTTTGGCACGACCCAAATGGCGACGATACTCATGATTATCCAAATCACGACGTAAAATCCAAATGAGATGCTAAATTCGAAAACGAAAACAAGAGGAAATTTGTTAGTAGAGAGAAAAAAAGGGAAAATTATAATGCATATGAGACAGGCCAATGTGAAATCAATCAAGCCCAAGTAATTGACAAAAAGGTTGTAGCAGCAGCCGGCATAATGAATATGATAAACTTGTACAACAACCACATTGACTACCGCCAATCAACTCAATCAATTATATTAGTACCTTTAAACCTTGTATGGCATCTGGCTCAGCCTGATACCGTTGGCCATCGGAGTAACCTAAAGCGGCACAGGTTGCATCAATATCTGCCAATAGAACCGACATTTTACCGGCACAAAAAATGTTTACCGTAACCCCGATACGAAAACGAAAAACACGCACGCCTATACGTAAAAAAAATGTCCACTTTTTTCCAATTTTTTTTTTTCACAAAACAGGCGTCAAAAAACTTTTTTCTTACACTCCCGTATTTAAGAAAACTAACGAAACGTACGAATTATTGTTACATTTAACAATAGTTTATGACAATTTTCTCAATATTTTAATTAAAAAAAAAAGATTTATTGTTTTCTGCAATAGTTTATAAACAAAACTTGTATGCAATTATAACAAACACATGTAAAGTCTAACGCGGCAAATGAAAACTAAAACTAAACAGCTGCGGTCATGACAGCTGTTGCTTTTGTTTAAAAAGCTTTGCGTGGCAGTAACCATATGTTAAGTACTAAAGCATAAAAAAGGTTTGTGTCTATGCTAAAGCACAAATCTTTGATCGTTAAGTGCTGCCAAGTTGGGGATAATTAGTATTGAGTTTATGGAGATGCCAATTTATGGATAATTATGTAAAGTGGGGAACTTTATTAACAGTTACAAAAGTTTAATTTAAAAATTTTGGAAAATTGAAACAAAAATAATAAAAAGTGATAAAAATTTGAAAAAATTGCTAAAAAAGAACTTAAAACTTAATAAATATTATTATAAGTTCTCCCACAAATACACAAAATTGTTACGGTTGTCAATTATTCGTGTTTAAAATTATTGGAATAAAATTTAAATTTTTATACCCTACATTACTATAGTGGGGAGGATATTATGCTGATGTTCTACACCCACGGGAAAAGTAAACCAATCGGCTGAGAATCGATTTCTAAGTCAATTCAGCTATGTCCGACTGCAAATCGCAAGTTTCCGGATAATTTGATGAAATTTGGCCCAAAAACGAAGCCCATTGAAAATGGTTGAAATCGGTCTATATTTCACCTAGCCCCCTTACAACCGTACCCTCCGAATAGGGATCTTGTGCCCATAATTATGTTAAATGTTTTAGTATCTCTTAAATATCGGCACAACTTAGGTATAAGTCTAAATGTAACTGCCAATTTTCGTAATGCATTGTTTCAAAAAAGGACTTGATAGTCAATAATTCACTTATAAACACCAGTATCACCAGTAATCCTTATACCATCATTTATAAGAATAGGCCTATATTTACCCTTTGCCCCTGTATAACCCATATTTAAAAAAAAAACTACTTTTTTGTCAACAACTTGTATAAGAATTTTGGAATTACGGCTAAAAAAACAAACTTAATATTTAATACTTATTATTAAAAGTAATTCACATTTATTACATACTCTTCACGGGTGTAGGGTATCTTATGGTCGGCCATGCTCGACTATGCATTCTTACTAGTTTTTCAATCGCGTAGTCGATAAAATATTTAAAATCATTGTATTATTCGAACGAATAACGAATAAAAATTTCAATTTTGATTAATAAAATAAAATGAAAATAATTTTTTTAATATTTAACAGAATAACAAAAAGAAAAAAAAATATATTTAAAAATTAATGTAAATAAATAAATTGTTATCGTATAAATATACAAATTTTTAATAAAAAACTTAAAAATTACTTTCATACAATGAAAAAAGTATTAAAAAGTAAGTGAATAAAGTTTTTCTTGTTTTTAACGATTTTTTAAATTTCTGAAATATAATGAGAAGTTTCTGAAATACATTTGGAAATGGTGTAGTTGATTGTACGTGGAGCACAGTGGAACTTTATAAAGAAAAGAAGGTCAAAAATCAATAACTTTTTATTCGATTGGAATTTTTGATATGCATTCTTTTGGTAGATGAATCGGTGAGCTTCAAGTACTACTATAAAATATAATAGGAGGATTCAGAAGTAAGTAATTTTTAGTACAGTTTGGAGACGTCTATATATAAGAGAGACAATTTTCTATTCATTGTTGTATACAATATTTAATTTTTCTTTTCTACCTAACAAATTGCTTCAAAATTAACAACTCACATGAAATTTTATACATATTGTTGATTTCACACATTAACTGCATTATAATTTGTGTTGAAATCCTCTATTCAAAACTAAAATTGAATAAATTAATATGAGTATTAAAATACATAAATAACTTAAAATGCATTTTCCAACGGAAAAACTACTTACTCTTATGTTTAAAATAATTCATCTCATAGTTATGCTTTCATTTTAAGCTTTTAATTATGTCCCCCCAATCAAATGCAATCTTACGAGTGGGAAATATGCATTTTAAAACAACTGGCAACACCCTCAACCAACATGTTTGTTTACATTTAGTTGCAGTAAATGCAGTTAGTTTTGTGTTACAAGTGAAAATTCATGAAGAAAAATTGATATTAATTTATTTTAAATGTTTAAAGTGGTTAAAATTATTTAATTTTAGTGCAAAAGTAAAGAAAAAAGTTTACTTACATTAATAAATATTGTGAAAAGTGTTTGTGTGTTAATAGCTTCAGAATTGTGGTCCATTCAATTTGCGGTTAGTGGCTCCAACAAAGATGACAACAAATTCTTCGGTAAGTTTATACATTTACATTATTTTATTAAAAATTATTAAATTTTCATCGTAAAATACCTATATTCAAATTGGCAAGCAAATCCTACTAAATAAAATTGCAAGAATATAGCTCCGGGTGCTCCTTTACTTCAATGTGTGTAAAGTTTTAGTTTGGCAGTTTGTTGTTTATGTTTTTAGTTATGTGACGTCACGAATTAAATGAATTACAGTGGGATAAAAAAACAGAACATATTTGCTAGGCTTCTTTTGTCACTTAACTAACTTATAAAGGGTGTTACAAAATTTACGCAAAATTTCTTTATACTGTTTTTTAAAATTATGATTCCATAAGATATTCCAAAAATATAGTGTTGTGTATGAATAACTCGTCGATTATTCCGTTTAATTTTTATCGATGAAAAACTGCTTTTTTGATGGTCAAATATGGGCCGAACCTCATAAAACTTGATTGAGGGATTTTTTATATATCGGTTGCTTAGCACGTAAACGTCCTAATGAATTCTAAAAACAATTACATTGAACTTCATGAGACCCATTTATTTTGTTGTCGTTTTTAGAACCACTCCCGGCAATGATTAGGTTATCTGACAACATCGATTTTGATTTAAATTTTTCGTTAAAATTAATGACTCCAAGCTATATTGCAAAATTAAAAACATATTTCAAAACGACACTTTGTCCGATATTTAAATGGAATTTGAGTTCAAAATCCAAAAACAAAATCCCAGGAAAAATTGTATTAGTTCCACAACTAGTTCTAGAACGCATGATTATAGCCTGTACTCGTTCTACTTTGGCGTTGAGACCAATGATTTTTGTTCGAAATTGTCACCTTCGGAACTGGTTCTGTGGAAGTGTTATGGAGTCGACACTCGTTCTACGGAACGCTTCTGGAACCAGTTCTTTCATCAATGATTTTTGTTCGAATTTGTCACCCTCAGAACTAGTTCTAAGGAAGCTTTGGAGAACGTATATGCTTTAACTTAAAATAGTTCTTTTTCCCTGCGTTTTTTATTCGATAATATTAAGAGTAAGAGCAGAATTGAGAAACTGTTGAGGAATTATTATTCTTATACCAATTTTATTAAGAAAACGTACTAACATATACTACATACATACATAATGTTTAAAACAATTTGTGATCATTCTGCCGCACCTACAATCTTCAGCTCACTTTCCATTCTTCCAGTACAATGCAATTAGCAATTAGGAATCTCTTTAATTCCTTATAGTCCAGTTCTATGCAGAAAAATACATATAAAAGCGTTTTCTATTTCAATAAAATAAATTTTATGAATTTTTAATTTTTTGACATTTTTTTCAACTGATTCCAAGAAGTTGTTTCGGAACTAGTATGCGTTCCATTGAACTAGTGTAGTAGCAATGTATAACTAGTTTCAAAGAACTAGTTCCTTGAAAACTATTTAGAAGTATTTAAGAACCACAACAACGTTCCGAGGAATGGGTTCCAGATGTAATGGCGACACCACTAGTTCCAAGGTTGTTGTTTAAGAATCTGAAGTGGTTCTGTTTGTTCTCGTTCTAGAACTAGTTGTTTTTAGAACAAGTTCTAAATTCCTGGGATGTTTTAATTTAGTTCCTCAGCAATTCGAACTGGTTTGGCTTTATTTGGAGACTTTCTTTTTATAAAAGTCTGAACAAATTTCAGACGGCGATGTCCGATATATAATTTGGCGTCGAATGTAGAAAATAATCTGACAACTCGAAATGTCACCCGATCATTAAAATAGGCGGTATTAATTATTCTTATTCAAAACTTAGTTGTATTAATTTTAGAGATATACTAAAACATTTAACAATACTGCTTTTGGGTCCAATTTATGGCAGCTAGGCGAAATAATTCATCAATTGCAATCCTTTTAAAAAGACTTCATCCTTGGACTGAAAACATAAGGTAAATATTAGCCAGTCAGCCCGACAAATAAAGCTAATCGTCTCAGAATTTGATTCTGAAATAAAAATTGGCGGGATCAAAATAGTGGGAGTGGCATCTTCTAAAAATGTTTTTTTTTTTAATATCTAGAATAAATTGTGTCGAAAACTGTGCACGATCAATTTCATTTTATGTAATTTATAGCAAAATGGGTGGAATTAAAATAATGGGCGTGGTACTTCGTAAATGTTTAAGTGTTAAATAGAGCTTTTTTGGCCACATCTTCAGTAATTGAAATAAAAATAGGCGTAACCTTTGGAGGGTGTGGCAATTCACTTCAAAATTAACTATTTTATTGTCAAATATGATGAGACATTTTAAAACATTTAATTTGGAATTATTATTTTCATCGTTAATAGCGGGTTACCCTCTAAAGGCGTAACCTTTAGAGGGTGTGGCAACTACTATTGTCAAATATGATGAGACATTTTAAAACATTTATTTTGAATTATTATTTTTACCGTTATTAGCGGGTTCAAGTGGGCCTAAATACACCAAAAAGGGGCACGAAATGGCAGATCATATTATTTTCCAACAAAAAACTATCCTTTTTGTTCAAAAACCCAAATTGCTTGCGATCACCCATATGTTTCTTCAAAAATCGTTTTTATGGACGAAAACCTTAAAAAACTAAAAACGATTTACAAGTCTTTTCGATTAGTCGGTTAATGGAATCAAATTAATTGGATTTATTTGATATCTTGGAATTTTCAATTATTGGAAAAAGAAGGTAATCGAAAAAAAAATAGTTAAATACCCATTACATTCGTCACAAAACTCGAAATCTCTTTTAAAATTTTAGTTTTTAAAGAAATAATTCTTTAAATTTAACTCATTT